ATATATACACATATATACATATGTACATATGTACATATGTATATATGTATATATGTATATATATATTATATGTAGCTCTGGAGTATAAGTCGCATCAGTCAAAAAATGCATCATGAAGAGGAAAAAAAAATCATATATAAGTCGCTTCAGTGTATAAGTTGCATTATCATCGCCGCTGACCCCTTACGACAGGTGTCATGCCAAAAATCTATTGGTGGCTGCAGGAGCGCGCTCGGGAGGACTTGCTGTTGCAGTTCTTCGAAATTTAACAAGATTAACACCTAAAGACAATTATTTGTTTGCATCGGTCGGCAGCCATGCCGGGGGTGAGGGGGCCCCGTCCCTCCGCTGCTGGAGCGGGGAGGAAGGGCGCACAGCAAGACACGTAGTATGCGGCCCCGGTAAGTGGCGATGTGTGGGCAGGATGACGCTGTAGAGCTCGCGGCCAGAGCCGAGAGCAACCTTCGTCCCTGTCGTTTATAGTGCCACTCACTAATACACGAATGGGTTGTGATCTGTGGTAGCGGAGTGATATGTAATGTGATGAGACTGGGAATGGTGCTGATGTTATGATGCTAAGATGATCTGAAGACAATGGTTAATAAATACAGTTCATGATGAGTCTGTCAAGTGTCCGTCTTCTTGTAGTAAAAGGAGTAAGTCAACATATATTACAGTTCCCAGACCCTTCCAGGCCGACGCAGAGCTGCCGTGGAGGAAATGTGTCTGGCATGAGCCAGCCAGACACGGGATGAAGGTCCCCCATGAGGGGAATCCTCGGCCGCTGAGCGGCCATCCCATCTGCCAGGTTGAATCCCCTGGGCAGACCCCAACCATTTACAAACTTTCTTTCTGCTGCTCGATTTCCGTTTTGGGCTGCATATTTTATTACCTGCAGTTTGTAATATGCAGAATAGCAGAGACTTTTCTTTTCTCAGTTGTCTCTAAGTGAATGTTTTGGGTGGGGTAGTGGTAGAGGAACAACATATAGTTGTCAAAAGCCTAGAGGGCACTCTCGTGGCTGCAAATGGTAATGTTTACTCTGGTTCATGTCAGTATGGATGAACATTTAATGTGTCTGTCAAAAGATGTGTCATGAACAGGGGAAAAAACTTATAAAAGTTGCTTTGGACCATAAGTTGCAGGACTGACAAATCTATGAAAAAAGAGTGACTTATAGTCCAGAAAATACGGT